TTGTTCTGTCTGGCGTCCAAAAGCATAAACATGTATAAAATATGCTGCTGGTCACCCAACCCTCTGCATGGCATCATTGCTTCTCGAGGTACCTGTCTCTGAGAAGTACCTCTCAGAAAGCAGGAGCTCACCTAATGGGATGAGGTGTGAATGACAATCAGTTTTCTCCCACTTGAGCCCACTGGTAGAAATCACAGAGCCTGGGCTTTTGCAAACACAGTCTTACCATCCTTACTCCCTACAGTAAAGCTTATTGATTTTCTGAGGTATCTGTTTTACCCCTCAGAAATATTCCCTGGCTGCCCACGCAGCAGATTTATTAATTGACATTGGATCTCATTGTTTGTGCTTTGAGGCACCAGCGAGTGTCAGAGAAGCTGAAGACATTTCTATTTCACATCTATGCATCTCCTGCAGAGAGACAAAGATTTCAGCAGTATACCCAGCAGCATTGAAAGAATTAATTCAGATTCTCTCCTGTGTGAGTCCTGAGCAAAATAATAACACGTTTCCTATAGATAGTGTTTCGTCATGCTGTGTGTGGATTTTATACTGGACTAATGCTCAGCGATCTCGGGTTCAGTTCTTGACTCAGCAATTGCTGAGTGACCGTGGCCTTCCCTCTGTTTGCACAGTAGAGGTGACGTGGGGATATTGGCACAGACCTCCCCTGCAATCTGGAGTCAAAAGCCATCGCAGAAGATTATGTGTTATTCACTTCAAAGCAGTGGTTAATGGCAACATGTTATGTCTTTTCACAGGCAGACAGGTTAATTTGGCAGATGGAAGTCTTTGCTCCCCTTCCTTTTTCCCTACTCCTGCTTATAGAAAGCTCTGTGTATTTTAACTAGATGTAGCAGTGATCTGGTAAGACACAGAATAAAACTCTGACACAATAATCAAGTGGGGAGAAGAGAAAGGAAAAAAAAGTAGCCTGAAACTGCTTATAAGTGCTTGTCATATTTCTAATGTTTTACAGAGTTCAGTCTTCACCAACCCAAAGGATAATTCTGTCCTTCACTCTCTTGCAAATTGCTTTCAATATCCCAGTAAGGATATTTAAATTTTATTTATTTACCAAATATTTTATTTGGTAAAAATCAGTTACCTAAATATCATTTTAAGCTAAAGGGAGGCCAAGGTGAGAAGAAAACAAAGCATACATGAAAAGCAGACAAAACAGTTTGCAACTTCTTCTGAAAACAAGGGAACAAACAGCTTGGTGCACTGAGGTTCATCTTGCCCAACTTTAGTGTCCAGCTGAGGGGACACTAAAGCTCCCTCTGTGATAACTGAGAGCCAGCCTGTGAGGTTTGTACAGAGGAAATCCAGCATAGTAGCTCTCAGCTGACTTTGTCCATGGAAAGACACAGGCATTTAAGGGTGCTGCTCGCTGAATTTAGAAGTTGACAACAGACTGAGATATATTATGCCCTGGAAATGCTAATTTGTCTTTGCTGACCAGAATGGGAACCTGGGGAACAGTCCAGATAGGGGCATCTCTAGGTTTAGATTAGATATTAGGAAGAAATTATTAGGTGTAAAGGCCCTGGCACAGGTTGCCCAGAGAAGCTGTGGCTGCTCCATCCCTGGAAGTTCCCCATCCCAGGTTGGATGGGGCTCTGAGTGACCTGGTCTGGTGGAAGGTTTCCCTGCCCATGGCAGGGGGTTTGGAAATGGCTGATCTTTAAGGTCTCTTCTAACCCAGGCCATTCTATGATTCTACGATCTCTGCCAGAAAAAAATATGTTGTGTCAGATAATTCCAGCAAAGTCTTCCCACTGTACTAGGAAACATTTGAACAACACAGTGTAGCCCCTTTATATTTTACCCTTTGTAGTTCATTCACTCCCAAGAAGAACATACCGGTAGTTACTCGTAAAAGGGATGTTATTGTAGGATGACAGAGAAGTGACCACTCACTAAGAGTAAAAATAGTCCCCAGCCATGTCTTTGACAAATGTTGTGGCACAAACTTCGTGTCATGCAGTCTGAATGATGCCTCATGTCACAAGAGTACTCCTAGTCATAAATCCTGCAAACAGGCTGCTCTGTAAAGAGACACAGGAGCAAGGCCCAGAGAGGTATTTCACAACAGCAGGTCCCCAACTCGTTAAGCATGTGTAGTTCCAGCTCACTCCTAATGAGCATTTGAGCTAAAAAATGCTTTCTATTTTTTTTGAAGTGGCCATTTTAACAGAGAAAGTGTACAAACAATGCTCAGGCCATCACCCTCATCTTAGATGATATTTAAGGTCCCTTCCAACCCAAACCATTCCATGGTCTTTGATAAAGCTGTTTGAAACAGGAATGCCTAGCTGAGGTGGTTGTGGCAGTGGAGGAAGAGGCAATGTAGCACACAAATCTGTAGGAAATCTGACTTAATTGGTTCTGTTGCTCTTTTGCACGTTTGTTTTAATCTGCAGACTGTCAAGGGGAGAAGTGGTATCGCTGGGGTCAAAGAGAATTAAACTCATTTAGTAGTAGCCCTGGGAGTGCTGCTGCCTCTGCACTCATTTCCTTTTGCTGAAAATAAATTCTTTGCAGACAAAACACATTTCCTAGAAGAGACTTTGTCTCAGCCACATTATTATAAAATAATCCTTTAGCTCAAGAAATATTACTTACATCTTCTTCTTGACTACCCTGAAATCCCTGAAGAATTTTCCTTGCTCTTTTGTGGGTGAGAATAAGTAGTTAATGACATGATTTTTACCATACATGAAAAAAAGGATAGTTTTCTGCTTAAGGCATGATAAAAACAGCTTGTGTTTCAGGTCCTAATTTGCTTCAGATTTTACTACATGTGAGAAAAGAATGAACAGTAAAGGATATTTACACCGGGTAATCTTGTGTTCTTCTTACATTGCAATATCTACATATTTAATTTCATATAGAAATTATGTGTCTGGATGTGTATGAAATTAAATTGTGTTTCTATTATGAGTCTATTTATAGATGAGACATTCAGGATATACTGCTGGATTCTGATCACTCACACAGCCCCATTATATTATTTGTGCTCCAGGGCTGAAGGAGCAGAACTCTAGCTTTAGGAAATATCTCACATGATGATTCATAGGAACTATTAATTAGCTTCCTGCAAATACATTGGCTTGAAAAGTCAGGAGAAAACTTGCTATCCAGAATTGTGTCCCAGTCTCTTACATTTTGCACTGTTTGGATAACCCAGGGTAGTCTCATGAAAGGAGATATATTTGTAACTGAGTGTTTAGGGAGGGAGAGTGACAGATCCCAGCTAGGAAAGCAATCCAATTATTGTGGGAAAAAATACTTGATAGTATCTCTTTTTCTAGGTGAAAACAAATACTGCCTGTGTGCATATCTTAGAATCATAGAATCATAGCATGTCTTGGGTTGGAAGGGGCCTTACAGATCATCGAGTTACAACCTCCCTACTATGGACATGGACATCTTTTAATAGACCAGGTCACTTGGAGCCCCATCCAACCTGGATTTGAACACTTCCAGGGATGGAGCATCCACAGCCTCTCTGGGGAGTCTCTTCTGGTGTTGTACTACCCAATCCTCTCAGTACTGCTCCTGAGAAGATGAAAATTCCTGTAATATGCTTGGTATAAGCTGTTTTGCTAAAACACATGAGAGGAGACACAGATTAAAAGAAGATAAGCACCTAAATGAATTGGAAAAAAAAGTTTTCCTAGGAATTGCTCTACTGCTTCTTAACACAACATGATATCATCTTCTTGTTATTGGCTTTTGAAGCAATTAGGAACACTGTCTGCTTGTATTAGTTACTGCAGATTCTTAAAAGAAACAATATTCCTTTCTAGAAGTGAAGAAATCATGTGGATATGAGAAAATCCTACATTAAATCTGCAGTTTGAACATCAGTTCTGCATTAAATTCACTTACGGTCGTAAAGGAATGGCTTTAACCCTGAAATGAAAGTAAGAAACAAAGAATCCCTATCACTGCATGAACAAAACCAAACTTAAAGTGGACTGATAGGAAATGCCACAGGTAAATAATACAGGCAAATTACCCAACCTGGATCCCAGAAAATCAGATTTTTATCCCACTGTTTACCGTGACATTTCTACAGGATTTGTGCTAAGACTTCCGAGACCACTGTCTCTAAGTATGTAAGTAATTGATGGCAGAGGAGAAGGAGAACAACAATTTATGAGAGGAGTAAAGAGAAGAATCATGAAAGAAGCAGAGGAACTATCATTTTCACACACTACGAGGTGGATATGCAGGATAAAAAACACCGACCATTGCCTTGGAAATCCCACTACTTGTTTTTATTCTGAACCTGGAATAAATGAAGCATCAGGACATGTGGGAGATACCACATTGCTGGGAATAAGATAATCTGTATTCCTTCTTTCCCATACTGTTGTTCCCAGGTGTTCTCTTTGTTGTTGAAAACTTCAGATGTTTGCTCTTCTGCTCTTCACTACCACTCAAAAATAATCCTCTGCTGAGGAAACCATCTGTCTTGTTAGGAGGATGGAAACACTGGCCTGATTCTGTGGAGATGGAGACACTAAGCTTCTCTCCATGGATGCATTACATTTCATGCAGTCTTAAGGAAACATGTAATAATTCTCTGAGATCCCCATTTAGTTAAGGCAGGTTTTAAACCATTGATGTAAGAGGAATATTGATGAGTCCATGGGAGGAGAATTCATTCTTAAACTATTTAAACTGGCGTTTCATTTAATACACGTTTCTCCCCAGAAGTGCCGCATGACTTGTCTCAAACTATCAAACCAATTATCTTCAGAAGAGCCAGAGGTGTCCACTTTGTAAAAAACACATTTTCTTGGCTAGCACCATCCTGTTACAGTCCACTGGCTGATTTAACTGTGTAGGTCCTTCTCCTGTGAAAATACATTATAATTTTAGATGTACAACACAGGCAGGACTAAAATGGATGAGCATATGTTTCCTTGAAGGCTGTTTGCTAACAGTAATTGCTTTTGCTTCCAAGAAATTTGTCAGGAGCTCCTCTAACACTTATCTTGCAGAATTATATGGAAAGTGAAAACAACTTTCAGGGATTACTTTTTCAAAAACGGCATGAAATTCATCAAGTAAATTATTCAGTCATCCAACCAGTCTTAACTATTAGGTTCCAAGCTGGTGGCAAGGAAATCTTGCTGCAGTTTATCACACTCAGAAGGCAGGTAAAATGGATCAGCACTAAAACAGAGAAGCCCCAGCCAAATCAAAGCAGATTTTAATGAGCACTGTACTTTACTTCTGGATCCAAGTTTTCTGGGGTTCAGGCCTATCTTCAGCACTACATGGACAGGGAATTGGAGCAACCTGGTCCGACCTCTGGAAATCCATGTCCATGACTTTTGGCTCTCTTAAGGACATTGAGTGGGAGGCAGATGAACCTGGCTAGAGAAGAAGGAGGCCTTTCAGTGTGCTGGTACTAAGTTATTTCTAGCTCTGCCTCTCTGTCCTTCTATACACTCACCTACCACCCCACTATCTGGTAGACACAGTCCGTCAGAACAAGAGGCCTGTAGGAACCTGTACACAAACAAGGTAACTTTAAAACTTCTTTAGATGAACACAGGTTGTAAAAGCATCCAGTAGACAGAAGCTAAAATACAAATGGGAAGTAGCAACTTTTTAGTAAGGCAAGTACAGACACCAACTGAAAGGAAATATTCATCCTCACTCAATCCTTAAATTGTGATATGATGGCTTCTGAAAGATACATTTCAATATAACTGAAATTTGCTGGATTCCAACATGGTTGTCTTGCTTAGGAGATAAGATTATTTTCATCTATGGGTGGAATTTCAGAGGGAAGTTTACGTATGTTTATGCCATGCAAGAGTCTCAGTTACTATTTGCTTAAAAACCCTCAAATGCTCCCTGTATCAGGTCATGTAGGGTTCCAGCTCTCTGTCTCCCACTCTTCTCCTGCAGATGTGGGAAGTGTAAGTTCTCAGAGCTGTGGGAAAGGGGCAGAAGAGAAATTTACATCCACATGAAATCACGGGAAACTCCGGTGTCTGGTTTTAGATGTCACAGAAGTTCCAGACAAGGTAGTCACCTTAGACTAGAAAGTTGCTAATTTTCCTCTGTGTTTAGAAATCTCTGGGAGCAGTTTCCCTGAAGAAGCAAGGTCAGCTTACTGCTATCAGTAGAGGGGACCTTGACCACTCTGCATGAAACAACCACACCACAGCTCAGATAGGAACGATAACACATTTTCAGTCAATTCCTCTCGTTCAGAAAGCCCTTTTACTTTTTGTGTTGTACACGTTGTCTAAACAGATTGAAGTAAAAGAAAGTGTCCTACATAGGGATGGACTGCAGAGGCAATGAGTTTAATGAGAGACAGAACAAATGATCACAAATCAAGGAGGGCTGTGTTGACCTGTGGGTGCTCCACTGTTACGAAAACATTGTTCTTGCATCACCAGAGAAATAAACTGTGCTTTTACCTGTTGCCATTTGACACATATAGCTCAATCATAAACAGCTAGCTGATGCACCCACTGAACTGCTATTTTCAGGTCGGAGTTTCTTTCTGTGCTCCTAGGAAAAGCAGTGTCAGCATCATTTTCCAGACTCATGGAAAAGTTAATCTAATGTGTCCCTGTCAGTCTCACATAGTTGTTTCTCTGTTTCTTTATTTCTTCATTTCATTAGATGTCTGGCCCTCCTTCAGGTGTGAATAAACCTGAATTACAATGGAAAACACAGGAGTGAGAGCACTGAAGTCTGTCACACGAGTGTGGTCGTGGAGAATATTTTCCCTCTTGTAATGGCCAAACCATGGCTGTTTTCCCCTGTGTTCTGCCGAAAAGGGAGCCAAATATGAGGGTATCTGGAAGGAGAAAGAGAAATAGTTGTAGCATGACAGAGTTAGATAGTTGTTTTTATTTCTTCTGAAGAACGAAAAGCTACTCCTGTGAAGAAATTTCCTGTTTCAGAGTAGTATAGAAACCCAACAACAAACAACAGACATAGATCAGAAATCTAAAATCTCTGACATTTTCTTCTAGAAAGAAACAACATTTAAAATAACGAGGAAGGCTTAATTCCCACTTCACTAATAACACACAACAAATCAGCATTCTCTGGTTTCAGTCCAGTCTATTCCACTTCTTCTTCTTGCCTTCCAGCAGTAAATTTCCCTGCAACACTGCAGATCACTGCTGATCACATATTTTGCTACATCCTCTTGCTGGGTGAGACAATTACAGTGCTTTGACTTTTTTCAATGTACAAAGTACTTTCATATCTGACTTCGATTAACAGCTGCCTTCTCCACTTTTTTTTTTTTTCAGAAAAACTAAACCTTGTCTGTTTTATTTACGAAGTGGTTTCCTTCACTAATGACTGAAAGACTCTTTCTCCATTGCACAAACAGTTGGGTAGCCAGAGAAGGCTAATTGAAAACCAGCCAGGAAGAACTCTGTATAGGAAGGCATTTGCTACCACAGGAAATTAAGAAGCTGGCAAGAGGGGGACTGACTTATTCTGAGATAAATCCTCTTTATATTCTGAAGTGCAGCTTGGCCTAACAGTTTGACACCTATAATTTTCTGCAAGGGAGAAATGTCAGGAAAAAAGTATTGTACCATCTTCAGCTTCAAATCTGAATTTCTGTGCATGGCTGCTCTTGTTCAAGAGGACAAAATCAAAACAAAAGGACTTCTTATTCAAAAACAATGCCTACTGAATAATCAAAATTTGTCATGGTTTTTTATTGCTTCAGAATCAGTAAATGCTCAGAAGCAAAATGCTCATGTTTTGAAATGGCCCTTTGAATCACTGTGTCCTGAGTTTTTCAGCATAAAATCTATGATTGTATGAAATTGTAGATATAATCTGCATATCTATATCATCTTCCACATTTTTGCATTTATGATTACCCCACCAGACTAGCAATTAGGGAGATTTGGTACAATTAAAATCTGAATGCAATTAGTAAGGATTCAGCTGCTACAGACAACAGATATATCTCAAATAAATATGCCAAGCAACCTGAACATTCCCACTGCAGGGCTCCACCCACAGTGTCTATCAATTTGTTACAGCATCTGCAATAATCCTCAGCAAATACTGTGGAAACTGGAAACAACCTGGATATTTCCAAGAAAACACAGACACTCTTGCATTGCAAAAGCATCAAGGTAGAATTTTCTTTGCCTTCTTCAAGACCATGGAGTGGATCCAGAAAGTTTTGGCCCCAAAGCTGAAATGGCATACAGGGAACCTAAACCTCTAACCACCTCTTCTTTTGTGACCCATTTGGTCTCCTTGATCTCCTGTAATTCTATGAATGTTCTGAATGTAGAATCATAGAATGCTCTCGGTCGGAAGGGACCCCAAAGATCATCCAGTTCCAATCCCCCATCATGGGCAGGGGCACCCACCACTAGACCAAGTTGTTCAGTAGCTCATCCAATGTGCCCTTGAACACTTCCAGGACGAGGCATCCACAGCTTCTCTGGGTAATGTGTTCCAGTGCATCCCCACCCTCACAGTAAAGGATTTTTTCCTAATATCATCCACTTAGCCTCAGTTTTTCTTCTATTTGTATCAGCTGCCAAGTGCCTCAGTTCTCCTACCACCTGCTTTTTATCAGGCTTATTCCATTTATGTCCAGCTCAGATATGAAGTCTAAAATGGTGCTGACAGAACCGTTTACCAGGGAAGTAGCTGCAGGGATTCATTTTAAACTCAGGAGTCAAACGTTTACACAAATTGAAACTGAAACTTACTGAGGTAGATCCTTGTGATTTGTCATCTAGTCATTTACTTGCATTGAGGGTGCTTATTTTGACATCTGAAGCACAGAGCTTTTCCATCAGGATACTGTACTTCAGCCATCTGAGATTAACCTCCCATGGCCAGGGAAAAAAGCCCCCCAAGGAAATCGTCTCTAAGCATCTCCATTTCCCTAGAAGTGCTGTCTGCATGAAGTCAATAGCTGTGCCATTTACTGTATGAAGTAGTGAAGGGGGAAAGAAATGAGTAATGTCTTAATAGCTGCCATCGATGTGGGCTGTTACAAACCATTTTAGCTGTTTGTTGGACTGCAGAGAGAGTAATTTTCTGCAAGGAAACCACAGGATACAGAGCTTTAGGAAAGAGTGTTGAAACACTCTAAACTAAGCAAAAATGTACCACTGCATCTCAACTGGACAGGTGTAGGAAACGTGAGCAGCTTTCTTTTCTCAGTAATTTTTAATTATAACAGCAAATTTTTCAAGTATTTGACTTCCACCACCTAAAGTCTCTCTGCCCACTGTAGCTACCAGCCTGACTTTCATCTGCTCACCCAGACTGCTGGGTTTAGTTGTTTATATTTACAAGAGAGATTATGTGTTTATCTGCAGAAGTGAGTGGATTTAAGGCTGTGAGTGGAACTGAGGGTATTTGAGCCTCTGAAGGAGTTGTGCTCTTCACTGACTATTCCCACCTCAGCCTGGTAGTGAAGGGACATAACAAACCTCCTACCAACAAAAGAGATTCACCCATGTTGGTAGAGGATGAAGTTTCTTTGGTGGTTCCTGTGTTAAATACAGTAAGTGAAGACTTATATTAGACATTGAAGCATTCAAAACTGAAAATTAGTCTTTTAACCTGAGAACAGAAGTAGCATTTTTAAGATTTCATGGATGGCAAAATGAATACACCTTCCTAAAAACAGGGGTAACAGAATGGTTAATGAGACTCAGTATGTGGACAAAAGAATAGATGTAGCTTGAATTAATGCATTAGATTTTTAAATTATACTGAAAGTACATGCATCACTGCTTATGGGAGCTCAGATGCTTGATAGAGACTTGCTAAGACATATGATATTTAAAAATAAACGTTTGACTATATGTACCAAATTTTAATTTAATTTTTCTGCCAGTAATAGATGTGAGTAAAAGCCTTATGCAGATCCTGCAGTTGAGAATTGAATACAACAGTGGCATAGTTTAGCTCGCTATATACCAGTCCACCCAAATGAATCTTTTATATATCCAAAAGAAAGCACTTAGCAAGAGATTTTGCTATTAGTATGCCCTATAAGCACATGAAACCACTGACAATTGTATTTCACATCCACTATATTGCAAAATGTTATCAACACAATAGCAGTGTAAATGCAGTTTTGGGTCATTTTGATAACTGGCAAATCTATGAACCACTGACTAAATAATTCTTCCCCTGCACTGCAGTGATCCATTAGCCTGTCTGTCCTCAGACAAGAATGAAAAATATACACACATGGGAACCTGTAGCTTGACCTGGAAAGCTAATAATTACCCTGTCTTTACCTATTTTATAGTGTATAAAGATCTACTACTGAAGTAACTGTCTTGAGGGAAGGATGGAGAAAAATTATGATCTGTTAAAAAGTTAGGATGGATTTTCGACATTGTTGATGGAAACCAGTGATATTAATAAAGTTTCACATTTCAGATATAACTTATCTTTCCCATGGTCTCCAATCCATTGGTGCTGCCACATAATAAAAGGATTGTAACTTTGTGGATTATGAAGTAAACTGAGTAATTCATATGAACGTCACTGAGACATTTTCACCACTAGTTGTGGTGATACAATCCTATCTGCTGTCCTGCTATCAAGCAGTCATCAGCTAATGGATTAAAATATATGCAGCAGATTAAAATGGTGATGCTACAGACTGTGCCCGTAAATTAAAACAAAGTGTCTGTAAGGGTATTAAGGAATTACATGTAAGATTAATAACCATGATGACAAAGAGTACTAGTGCTAGTACAAACATAGAGATCAGCCTTCACACATGCATAGCCAAGGCTACAATACCATGGAAGCCTGAATTTGTAACAGATATGCCCAAATTTTAGTTTGAGATGTGCTCCAAACCGATCTTTAAAACCAGATTTGGATTCTTCCCAGACAGCAAGCTGTGGTCTACAGGCACAGGGCACCATTAGAAGGTGTCTTTTTCAGCACTAAAGGCCCCTCATGCCCAAAATTGCCACTAGACACAGTAAAATGTGTCACTGCATGTGTGGAGAGGCAGCCCAGGACCACTTCTGGAGGCTGCCCTTTCGGAGTGGTGGAGTCTGAGATCCCCAGGAACATACTGGGACTGGAATTCACCCCACAGGCATTGCACAGCTGCCCTGTGGCAGTGGCTGTGCAATGGTTGGGAACAGTATCTGCTGCTTGCTGCTAACAGGAATAAAAGGCTGTTGGCTGGGGTGGCCAAATTCTCTAGGCATTGATTAAAGAGATTTAGAACCCAATTAATCAGATGTGAATTACCAAACTGGGGAATTTCTGAAGCTGCAACAATTCAAGTGGAAAAGCTTTGATGTATCTTCGCAATACTCCTGTATCTCGATCTCTCTCATTACAACAAAAGAGACCAATAAATTTCCTGAACACCATCACAGCCAGGGAAGTCAATTTTCCCCAGCTTTTTATTTTCTTTGGAACATAATATTCAACATAACAAATTCTAAGAACATCTTGTTCTGTCCAGCCCCTGATGTGTCAGGCTTGGTGGATAGCAGATATCGACAGGATCATCTTGTCCCCTCTGTTTGGTACTTTTGCCTAAGGCATGCACTGTTATCTTTTAGTACTTTTTCATAAATCACAAGTACATTACTTAATTTAAGTGGAAAACATACCCTACCATGCACTTTGTAGGCTACCACAAAACCTTGATAAAGAGGATTCCTGAGAGCCATTCAATCACAGTTACAGCTGTAACAGGAGATAGGATGGTCTGTTCACAGGATTTCATAAGGCAAAACAGATTTTAATCCTTACACTGGTTACTGAATCTGACAGACACACACACAGACAGACTGTGGCTCCCCCTCC